CACCGCAGGCTAGGCGATAACATCAGCGACTGGGAGCACTACCGGATCTCGATCGCGCAGATCCTGGCGTTCGCCTCAATGTTCCAGATTCCGATGGTCGGCGCGGACGTGTGCGGGTTCGGAGGCAACACGACGGAGCAGCTGTGCGCGCGGTGGGCGGCGCTGGGGGCGTTCTACACGTTCTACCGCAACCACAACGAGCTGGGGGACATCTCGCAGGAGTTCTACGTGTGGCCGACGGTGGCGGAGGCGGCGCGCAAGGCGATCGACATCCGCTACCGGCTGCTCGACTACATCTACACGGGGCTCCACCGGCAGTCGCAGACGGGCGAACCGTTCCTGCAGCCGCTGTTCTACCTGTACCCGGAGGACGAGCGCACCTTCGCCAACGACCTCCAGTTCTTTTTCGGGGACGCCCTCCTCGTCAGCCCCGTCACCCAGGAGAATGCCACGGCCGTCGACGCGTACTTCCCCGACGACGTCTTCTACGATTGGTACACGGGCCGCGCGGTGCGCGGCCGCGGGGCCAATCTCACCCTGACGGACGTCGACTACACGCATATCCCTGTCCACGTCCGCGGGGGCAGTATCGTGCCCGTGCGCTCGGCCAGCGCCATGACCACGACTGAGGTCCGGACCAAGGGCTTCGAGTTGCTCATCGCCCCCGGGTTGGATGGCACCGCGGCCGGCAGTCTGTATCTCGATGATGGGGACTCGGTCGAGCAGGCCGCCGCGACGGAGGTGACCTTCCATTACAGCCGGAAGGGCCGCGAGCTGCGGGTTGCGGTGGAGAATGCCGGGTCTGAGTTGCGGGTGGAGAAGGTCACGGTGCTGGGGGAAGGGGAGTCGGGCAAGAAGACGCATGGGGATGGGTTCAGTCTGCGGTCGTCGCTGACGGTGAAGCTTTGAGGGAGTGGGGTGGTTGGACCATCGGCTTCTGGTCTGGATCTTGTGTCAAGGACTAGAATAGATGACTTGGACTGCGCGGCCTCTCCGCGTTGAATTTATATACTCAACCAAATATATGCAAGAATCAGACAATCATCTCCAGTTGCGACAGTCCTCGAAGCACTTCCGAAGAAAGAATAAAAATTAAAGGATACAAAATAGAAAAGCCCTACCAGAGAAAAATAATTACAAGATCCATGCATCGGACAAGACCAAACAAGTAATCCTAGCCCGAGATGCAAAGGATAAAAGGAAGCAATCAATTGAAGTGTACGGTCTCTTCGGAGAATGAATGCTAGATGGACAAGATCAAGCGAACTTTTCTCTTTTTCTCTCTTTTCTTTTTCTTTGTTTTCTTTTAGGTCAACCTCAAACCTTGGCGGTTAATCGTCAGCTTCAGTATACGTATACAGAGCAACCATTCCCAAAAGGCATCTTCATTGATGCCTTGAGACTGTATGGCTGAAACCCCATCTCCCCTTAGAGCCTGTGGATCTGGTGAGTGTTTTGTTCCGTGGTTTGATTCGGGTTCTTCCGATCCAAATATTGATGCGGGTGTAAGGGCAATCCAACCCAGGGGTTGTTGTTCATCATGGCGGCCTTCAGTTCCTATCCCCGTTACTTGTCGTCATATAGCGAGAGTGACCCACTACCGACCAAAGATTCATCGAACCATCCTAGATTGGCCCTGGCCTTATCGATTGCCTACTTTGGCGCTGACTCAAAAAGCCGGCCCCTGACACGGCGAAACTAACGTCTACGTCCGGATCCGCCCATGCACCAAATAAGGCTGAGAGAGATGTATATCTCAATTGGGCCAGCCGCATGGGTCCCCAGTTCTCCTGTCTATGTAAGGCTCAACGAGCAAGCCCGAGTTGGTCGAAGGTAGGTAGGTAATTCGGGTGGAATACGGCGGATGCTATGTTCAATCCCAACAACAATGTTCTCAACCAACGACCAAGAATAAACGATACGACTACGAAGAACAACCCAGAAGACCAAAGGAGTAGTATCGAATCTTGATCTCATTTCAAGTCACCAACAAGAAGCTAAGGAAGTTTTAATGCTAACGCCATCTAAAATGCAATGAGACGCTCAGGGACTCAGACCGGAACCAGACAGTAGAAAAGGACGCCAATATTCTCAACACGCAAAATAGAAAAGGATATAATCCGCAAAAAAACAAGAAAGCACAGTCAAAATCGTGAAGCATCAGTTGCGCAGACCGAAAGCCCGACGCGCCCGACGTCTCAACTCCCCCATCATCGCCTCCTGGGACTGCTTGGTGCGGCCGACGGCCTCGGTGTTCTCGACCGCGCGACGCATCAGGAATCCCATGCACTCCTTGACGGTACCCCAGGTCAACAGCTTGTAGACGTTGGGGGACTCAGTGGCAGCGGCGCCCTCCCCACCGGGGAATCCCTGGAGGAGCTCGCAGCTGACCTCATCGGCCATACCCTGCAGCTGGGCGTAACTCAGATCCACGCCCTGGGACTCGCCGGTGGCGGCCTGCTTCATGCGGATGGCGTGGGCCTTGCGGACGGAATCGCGGTTGTGGGTGGCGATGATCACGTTCAGCGGGGGCAGCTGCTCGGTGTGCTTGTCGGAGGCCGGGCGGAGCATCGCGTTGTAGCGGCGGGTCAGCAGCGCCTCGACCACCCCGTCGTAGCACGCGTCCGTGTCCTCCTTGACGTCCCAGATCAGCTGCCGCGGCTCCGTCTTCAGGTACGCGCCGCGCACCAGCTTGACGCCGGCGGTGAAGCCGTTCTCGCGGGCAAACTCCAGGTGGCGGGCGATCGTGGCGGGCGTCGACTTCAGGTAGGCCTGGTAGGTGTTGAAGAAGATGGCCTTGCCCGGGGTGCGCGCGTTGCAGTACTTCTGGTACCGCAGCGCCCAGTTCTCGATCCCGTGCTGCACGGCCTGCTCCTCGGCGTCGACGAGCAGGCGCGCGTTGCGCGCAATCGCCAGGTCGCAGACTTGCTTGATGGCTTTGTCCATCTGCTCCGAGGGGTCGGATTTGTTTTGCAGGTAGTGGAGGACTTGGTGGCCCATTCCAGTCCATCTTTTTTGGAGGGGGGAATTGGTTAGCTTAGCTTCACGGGGTTGATCTTGGGGATTTGGGGCAAGACGGAAAGGGGAGCATACTTGAGAGCCACGAAATCACCCTCCTGGGCCATGTCCACCGTCTTCAGGGTGCCGTCCAGCCAGGTCTGGATCTCCTCGCGGGCGAGCTGCTCATCGAACGGGTCGACCTGTCCCTCGCCGACCAGGACCTCGCGCGCGTAGCCCAGCAGCACGCCCCGGTAGCCCAGCGACTTGATGTCGCGGATGGAGCGCTGCACCTCAACCTTGTTCTCTCCGGCATTGAACTGCTTGTAGATGGTGTGCTTGACGACGGCGTTCAGGAGCGGGTTGCGGGCCACGTCCAACAGGGCGGACTTGGGGTGGGCCAGCGTCGACAGGGCGAAGATGCATGGTTTCAGGAGCAGCGACGAGGAGGAGACGGAGAGGATGACGAGCGAGCGGAGGACGGTCGACAGCGGCAGCTTGGCCAACGGAGTGGAGGAGGAGGTGCTTTGCAGAGACGCGGAAACCTGGTGTTGCAGGGTGGTGGTGGAGGAGGCGGGCGAGGCGACGACGGACGACTTTGCGTTGCTGGTCCGGCTGACATAGCGGCGGCCGGGGGCGCTGGCGAGCGCCCGCATCGGGCGGCGAGCGGCCTTCATTGTGTTGTTTATCGATAAGGTGGAGGGTGGTAGAGTAATGTATGGTCTGGTTAGAGGATGGATGAGGATGTATGAGAGAGAAAGAGGGACAGTTTCTAGTGTGTAAAATAGTCTAGAGATGAGAGACCAGAAGTCGTACTTGAGAAAGAAGAAATTTAATTCTTTGTCGTCCTACAGTCCTGTATAGATAGTTCTCTGGGAACTGATAAAGGGAAGGGGGGAAGGGGAATCCGCTCCAGTAGCCGGTGGAAACCGGGCGGTCTTCCTTGCCGGTCGCCGCATTACTTCTTCTTACATTATTACTATATCGACCGAGATCTATGAAGTGGCAGCAGCTGTAGCAGCTGCAGCTCCAAACCCAATGCCGGTTCTACCCATTTCTTATTATTCAGAAGCAGACTAGGGGGCGGCAGCTGGACACATGACTACTCTTATTGAGTTATGAGTATGCGGACGTACATCTACAATTGCCCCCTCGTGATCCCCTCGTGATGTCAACCCGCTACGGGGGGCATTTCTTTTCCATTTTAAGGAGCAAATTGCTCAACTTGGTGGAACTTATGTCATGAACCGGTGGCAAATTCCAAGGACCGTGAATCGGATCAGGTCCAATGAACACATTCTCAATCTTTGATGAACCTCCCCCTCTTCCTCCCCTGGTGCATTTCATTGATTCAACATTGACGTCTCGAAAAGTGCTTGATGCGTTAATGCATGGGAGGCAAACTCCAATGCCCCAATCTACACAGTACATCTACCATGTAATCTGTATGGATCGGCAGCGATAAGCTGATAAAAGTCGATAAGGAGTCCGCCGGTGGACGGGCCGGTTGGTTCAACTGCCCCACCGGAGTTCAAGTGGCTGAACCGGCCCGGTTAAGCGAGCTCGACAGAGAAAAAAAAGCCAGGCACGTGCCCCGCTGGTTGCAAAGGCGGTTGATTCTCGGGGTATCGGAGACCGGGGTTGTTATCCATCTTATCGGGGGAACAGCATGCCTGAGGCAACATGCAATAAGGAGGGCTTACTTTGGAGGTGTTGCCATTCGACGAGAACGCATGCACATAGATTCAACGTGTCGGTTGTTTGCCACTACGATTAGGTTTCCCGAAGCGTTACGCCTGAGAACAGCCTCCGGCCTTGATCCGGTCAACCGCGGAAGCATCTCCGCGACATCGCCGACGGTCTCGAGCTGACTTCACGAGATCGCCTCGTTTGTTGACTCGCTAGCTTCGCTACGTCTTCCCATGGTGTACGCGATAGTCCGAGCATTGGGCTCACTAGTGATACGCGACATTGTCTACTGACTTCATCAATGGTATTTAGTCGTACAAATGACAAGGATGTACACGAGGTCTTCGTATAGTCGTCAATGCCAAAATAGCAGGCAGATTATGCATTCATGCAACCAACGTTCAGAACTAAAGAAAAAAAGCTAGTCGCAGCTGAGGGTATGACAAAATAGGTGAACACGAGAAAGAACAAATGCTAATTAGGGCTCAATTCGTTATAAGATCCATGCTCCCAGGGCCATCGCCAGCAGCACCGAGACGATTGGCGCCTGGCTAGGGCCATGCAGTGGAGCGGCGCTAGTCGCCGTTAATGAGCTCGAGGCGAAGACATATTTGAATCCGATGTCCGACGAGTTGAAGCAGTTGTCCTTGGTCACCTCGGCGACCTCGTCGTCTTCGGCGAAGGTGATATCCACGCACTAGGGTCAGACACGATAAGCGGGTGAATCGAAGACAAATCAATGCTGAAAATACTCACGTCGTACAGAGAGGCACCGTGTTTGGCCACCTCGACAATCTGGATGGTGGCGTTGTCGCCCACCTTGGGGCTGATATCGGCGGGCAAGGGCACCTGCGGCAGACAGATCGTGCCCGGATACGGGTTGTTGCTGGGGCCCGTGATCTCGAAGACGGGGACCATCGGAAGACTCATGTTGTCAGGGACCGTCCCCAGGCCCATGTTGATATACATGAAGGCCGTCGAGTGACCCTGGAACCAGCCGGGCTGAAGAGCGATCGCGCCTCCGTTGACGGGCCATTTGGTACGGTTCGTCGACGTAGGCATCCCACCACCTGAACAGTTGTATTAGCGATGGAAGATGCTTGGCAAAAAAAAGAGCAGGTTGTCAAGCATACAAGGATAGATCCATTGCATCCCATAGGGATAGACGTATGAGCCGTTCTCCCATCCAACACCCAATCCGTTCGTCTGCTGCACCGTGCCGTTGGTGTGCAGGTTGTTGCCACGATAACCGGGGTAGGTGATGATACTGTGGGCGTTCGCCAGACTGAGTGAAAGCAGCGTGATCGCTGCGATACACCGCGATATCGACATCTCGAAGGAATTCATGTTGTCTCAGTTGGGAGTGCGAGCCGCGAAGGGGCGCCAAGGTCAAAAAGGAGGAGAAGTGAGCAAAGCGGCAAACAACTGCAGACCAAGAGATCTATACGCTCCAGTCAAAGCTTGCCAGCAGCTCTTCCGAAGGTTGCAGTCCCAGCGACTGAAGGAAGCGGTTCAGTTCGGGAGCAGGAATGATAATCATTGAAACACAAGCCACCATGAATCAGGAGGGTTGGCGGGAGTTTTTGAGTGCCAGACTGAGGGCATGGGCAGTTCCTGCGATGGCGCTTGCATGGTGAGGATGGCGGGGACTGCAGGTCCAGTCTGACGAGTCAAATCGCAGAGCACGATGTGATGACGCCCGCAGCGACGACCATCCAGGGTCACTGTTCAGGTGGAAGGCTGTCCAGTCTGGAGAGCCGGAGGCCATGCGTTGCACCCGAGAGGCGGAGAGAGACAGTGACTGGGAGCTTGGGATTGGTTTATAACTCGGTCCAAGACACGGGCCTGCAAGAGGCATCACGTTGGCCAGGTTAGAGATGGCGTTCTGGGATGTCATTCGTGGAGGCGTGAGGTTGGTAGCGCCCGGATCGGAGGCTAGAAGAGGAGAAATGCGGGCGCTATTGGGCCTGGGCGCTTAGAGATCGACTGCCAAAGGTGTGACAAGAATAACCATGTCACCAGCACTGCAGTCTGTAGTATGTAGCAACCTTAGCGTCAATGTGAACAATTGTGAAGCAGCATTCACAGGTCAGGTTCGGTAGGAATTGGTCTTTTGGCCTGGTTAACCAGGCAGCCAGGCTTCCCCGCTTCAACATCCACAGCGGATCACACAGCTCGGCGTGAGATTATTTATCCCTTCTACCAAGCTCAAGCTACATAGAAGCTATTGGCTGCTGTAAATATGTTAAATAAATAACAGAGAATTTATCCATTAACAGAAGAATAGCCGACCAGTCACAGTATCGTCACGTGATACGCGATGCTATAATGCAGTCACATGACCAACTTGGCTGCTACTATGGAGCAATGCGTGCTGATAGATCGGAACTCATCTCGTTCAGAAATCCTCAATCCGCCTTGAGACATTAGATCCGGGGATGGTTCACAACTCTGTTCTCTAGCTGTTCTTTAACACTATGAAGAAAGGAGTCCAATCCGATGAAGCTGCAAGAAGCACACCCACACAAACAGTGCAAACACGGACCACTGTTATACCGCCTTCCATGACGAACCGGAAGATTTCAGATCCATCGCAAAAGATCTACTCAACGAAGTATAGAAGAAGAACTGCTTAAAATATCTGTCTAACCATGCACACGCTTCAGGCGACGGCTTTATCGTCACTGTCCCTGGCCGAAGGCCACTACATCTACTCCATTGCCGCAGCAGGTCCCGGGTCATTCGCCGTAATCTCATCGGACGACTCGCTGCGGGTTTTCAGTGCGGATGGCCTCAGCCATTCATCCATAGTCACCCCGAGTGCCCACGAGGTGGTGACCTCGCTAAGAACCTACGATGCGGGCCAGCAGCTTCTGGCCACCGCGGGACGAGATGGCAAGGTCAAGGTCTGGGACTTGCGCAGTGGGAAGAAGCCCGCCGTAGAAATGCAACCCTGTAAGTTGTTTTTTCTCTTATGTATCTACGGTGGTCGTTTTTCTTTCCCCTTTTAGCTTGGTGTCAGATGGTGCTGGAGAAACTCTCTTGGATAAACGTGAGAAGCCACGAGGTGTCTGGCTCAGTCTGTGTAATGAGTAATGCGGGGGAACCAAGTATTGTCTGTTATGCATTGCAAGTGTTCGCTTACCCTTGTCGTCGTCGCGATAGCAATCCAGGCTCCCGTACTTTCCATTGCGTGCTCTCCGCAAACCCATGATATTGCTGCAGGAACCGAGCTTGTTGCCTCGAATTACGGACAGCAAGCCGTGGTCGCCTTTTGGTAAGTGCGCCAAGCATAAGACTTTGTGTTTGGGAAGACATCTGCGGATGGCATCGTTGGACTAGGTTCGCAGCACACTAACAGCATCAGGGACATCCGATCGGCGAATCAACCCCGATTGGAATATGTGGAAAGTCACAACGACGATGTGACCGAGGTTAGTGGCCGGCCGCGTTGGGTGCTGATTATTATCCTTTGTTTTTCACCTGCTAAATTGCCCGGCAGCTCCAATATCACCCCACCCGTAGCCACATCGCACTCTCCGGCAGTACGGACGGGCTGGTAAACATTTACGATACTACCATCACTGATGAGGATGAGGCGTTGGTGCAAGTCATCAACCACGGCTCCGTGCACCATGCCGGGTTCCTGGACGAGAACACCGTCTATGCCCTCAGTCATGATGAGGATTTCGCAATTCATCCCACGACCAATCCGGATGACCAGACCTCGGAGGGCGCTGAGCCCATACAGTTCAATGACTTGCGACAACCGCTCCACTGCGAATACATTGTGCAACTGTGCCAGAACAGTCAGGGCCAGTACATCGCCGCAGGCAACAAGATGTATGCATACCCACCCTCCCCGACGCGTGCAATTAGATTTGAGCTAACTTCAACAGCGAGCAACGGTTGGACCTGGTCCCACTTGTGTCCTCCCCATCGTGGCAATTCGATCAGAACAACTCGTGGCGTCTTCCAGGCGCTCACGGCGAAGAGGTCATCCGGTCGGTTTACGTGGATGAGCAGGTAAATGATCTTCCCACGAAACTCCGTTGCCGTGTCAACTAACGCAGTGTCTAGTCCCAGTCCGTTTTGACCTGCGGTGAGGACGGGTGTGTCCGTGTCTGGAAGCCAGAGGATGGGGATTCGACAACGCAGGCGGACGGCTCGGCCAAGGGAACGCGACAGAAGGAGAAACGATCCAAGAACAAAGATAGATTCAAGCCTTACTAGACTCATGAAACACGCATCTTACATGAGATTGTCTTACCGGACCTCATATCAACCCTTTTTCACACGCAGAAAGACGCATGTGTCATCATATCATCATTACAATAATCATTAATAGGTACAACACTCAACACAAGCCAGCCCTCAAACACTGAGCATCTTCAAAAACCGCTGGCCCAACTCATCCGCCGCCATGGGGTTACCCCCCGACACCAATTCGCGATGGAGGGTGGTGTACCCGACCTTCTCCGACAAGCCCGTCTCCATGATGGCCCCTTCCTCCTTCAACCGCGACTCGACCTTCTCAATCTCCCCACCGAGCAGCGTCTCCATCGCCTTCTCCTCCACATCACTCCACGAGGTGATATGATACCCCTTGTACACAAAGTCCCCGTCCCCGGCAAACTTGGTACTCAGCAACGCATACGGCCCGTGGCAGATCACCGCCGTCGGCTTGTTCTCCCGGTGGAAGAACCGCAGGATCCGGCCGAGGTCCGGGTTGTCGCCGAGATCCGCCAGCGGCGCGTGGCCGCCGGGGATGAACACGCCGGCGAACGAGGCCAGCTCCTCGTCGCTGATGCTGGCGAGCGGGCGCGGCCGACTGAACCCGTTCTCGCGCTTCATGCGCTCGATGAGCGCGTTCTCGCGCCGGCGCTCGTAGAAGTTGCCCGCGAAGGCCAGCAGCGACTCGCTGTTGGGGTCCGGGACGGGCTCCTCGCCTTTGGGCGAGGCGAAGGTGACCTCGTGGCCGGCGTCGAGGAGCTTCTGGAGGGGCTTGGCGAGCTCCATGAGGAAGAAGCCCGAGGGCTGGTCGACGGTTTGGCCGGCGTCGGCGCCGGAGGTCTTCTTTAGGGGGAAGGACTTGGCGTCGCTGAGGACGATGAGAACTTTTTTGGTGGGCATTTTGAATCGTAGTGCTGTGGTGATATTGGTTGTAGGTTGTAGATACTTGAGGGATAGTTTGGTAGAGTATCGGAGGTGTCCATAGTGTGCGGTATTAAGTATTGGTGATTTTTGAGGGTTCGGTGGGGATGACATCCCGATGACGTACGGTACACCCATCTCAATAATCCTCCAACGCAGTCACTCTTACGTTACTGTCAGGTACATTAGCCCTACATGATTAATCATTAGACATAGCAGCTCACGACATTGAGAAGTGATTTGTTGGATTTATCCCAAGAGATGCTTACAGCATGATGTTTGTTCCCTACCAAACACGACCTTGGAGCTATCCCGCAACGCCCAGATGCAGTTCCCCTCTCTGCTTATCGAAATTACAACTCACCAACCACCTCGAAGGAATTGAAGACCAAACATATAAAAGCATACCTGAATGACTCTTGTTAGATGTAAAAAGTTCAGAAGTTGAAGGACTTCAATAAAGCTTTTTATTTTAAGGGTCGTTGAATTCCAGCAATATGAAAGTCGATTATTTCACCAAGTTGTATTTCAATTGGCCGGTCAAGGGAATCCCTAACCCTCACAAGTAGTAGCCTGTTCTCTTAAAGTTCCTCATACCTTAGTCGAATCGATCCATCAACTTATCCAAGCAGCATCCTTAACCGAACTTTTATACCACACTATTCATCGCCCCCCTTCCAATGATCACCCAATTCACACCCGACACTATTTATCACAGCCCCCATCCCCAGAAATCCACAACCACAACCACAGCCACCATGCCACACCAAATAAAAACCCATCTAATCATCCTCCAACACTCCATCCGCCGTACAGATAAACTTCGGGCCCTGAATGCCCCACGAACCCCCGAATTAGCATCATGTCTTTCCGTATTATCTCCTCTCTCCTCCAACAGATTGACCCCCCCCCCCCTTCCCCCTACAAAACCGACGGATAAACTTACAATAGTATAACAACACTTCACCCCCAAGCCATTAGGACACTTGGCTGCCGGCTCGGTGAGTTGTTGGCCTGTACGATCGCCATCAGGTTAGCCTCGCTTTCTCTCCAAGACACATGGCAATTCTGCGAAGAAATAGGGGAATACGGGAAGCATACAGTTATTCCCCTCCACCGCCAGGCTGGTCACCGCCGACGGCGTGTAGCTGTCGCAGCAGTAGGGGTGCTGCAGCATGCCCGTCTTGTCCTGCGCGAAGGGGCAGTATTCGATCAGTTCGGCGGCGGCGAGGGTAGCGGTTAGGGTGAGGAGGAGGGTTTTGAGATGCATCTTGAAGGATTTTGGGGGTTGTTGTGTGTCAAAATGGAATTGTTGGGAGGGAGATGGATGGCGTGACTTTCGTGCGCTTTGTCAGGTTGGATTTTGTTGGAAGGTTGGAGATGGATGCTGTGGCGCTGGGTATGGTATTTGAGGAATTTCTAGGTGGAGATAGGGTTTTGGATCAAGAAGGGAGGAAGGGAGGGAACGAGGAGGGGGGGGGGGGTGCATGTCGCTGGGGGGATGCGGATGCGTGCGCGTTTTGAGTCAAGATGCGCGTGTTGGATGTAGGTACGCGCGCGCTCATACATCTCCAAATACATCAGTGCTACTGGGTTGGTTTGTTGTTAGGGGTTTTTGCTGGGAAAGTATCCCTTGCGTGGGAAGGTTTGAGGCGTAGCATTGCGGAGGTTCCTTGAGACAGGCTGGTATGTTTTGTATTTTGATGAGGGAAGGGGGTTCATTCCGCTTTGGCTGGGGGAAAGAAGATACCTTTCTAAACAATTGTTGTCTTTTTCATGTGGAGATATAATATGAGGATTTCGTTGAAGTGTAAGTATAACCTCGGGACGGTGGAGGCAGAAGATACTGAAGATAGCGGTATACGCTACAGGCAATACCTGGTCCATCCAGCTGCGTACGTGGTATGTGAGACATGACTAAGTAGCGAGTTGGAAACACAGATGATGGTTGGTATTATAGACTGAAAGTGTGATCATTGTGACAGTGTTCATAATCTCATGCTTCAAGACATACCCCTACCCAAGACACTGTGTTAAAGATGATTTGTATAGTAAACAACTGTACACAGTCTATTCGGCCGTCAAGGTCCGAGCTGTAGCCTAGACTTATCGCTACCTACCGTCCGAACACATCCTCCGAGTTATTGCTGAGGGTTCCTTTTCCGGGCCGTCGGTTGGCCTGGATCAAACCTCGGATTTACCGAGCCACCAAATCTGTGAACTTCTCGGACTACTCTCCTACTCGCCGCTACCGACCAGCACAATACCACACCCCCGAATTCCCCAGGAGACCTCAAGCTCTATCGCTACTGTATTGTATGCCTCATCCCATAAGCTATGTGATATCAACTCCCATCCTCAGCAAAACACATTGGTCAAGTGCATCCACTCCCCCTCATACACACATCCAAACCAACCCATCAAGAATACCCCCTCTGCGCCATCAGAACCGCCAACGGGATATCCTCCTCATCGTAGAACTCGACCTCCTCCTCGACCCCAAAGTCCCTGAGCCGGTCGCCGTCGGCATTGCGCCAGCCTTCCTCCCCGTCGTCTGAAACTGCGTCCTCGGGCTCGCTGCTGCCGCTGTTGTCGCTGTTGCTGGCGTCGGAGTCGCTGGGTGTCTCCTGGTTTCGGACAGAATGGGTGCGGTCGAAGCGTTGGTGGAAGCGCTTGCGGCGGAGGATCTTCTGGGGTGTCCCTGTTCCCGATGACGAGGCGGCCAGAAGGCCGTTTTCTGGCGCTGCACCTGCTGCTGCGGGAGCAGTCCAGGGGATGCGGTCTGGGTCGGGCGGGGGCCAGGTTGTGTTTGGATCTGGGGTTTGTTAGAGCCATCGTTTATGATCGAGTGCTGTGCTTCTAGCCGTCTCTGGCAAAAGGCTAGGGAATGGGGAACGAACCTTCAAACCCGTTGACCTCGAACTCCAACCCCGATCTCCGGTCGAGGGTTCTCGCTAGTGGCCAGAACCAGCTTAGAATCTGTACCATCAACCATATAATTAGCATCAAACCACCACCTCGCGCATTCCTCCTCCCCCAATCTCTACGCTCCGGAGGGAAAAGAAACATACATTTGCCGACCCCATTCCCTGCCTCAAATTCCCCCACACCCCAACATCATACGGAAACTCCTGGCGCTTGATCCGCACCCGCACACCCCCCGGCCCCTGCAGATACCCGCCGAAATGCCTCGCGCGCCGCAGCAACGTCTGGTGGCGTTCGATCTCCCACTCCTCGATAGTGGTGGTGTTCAGGGCGAGAGCCCACACCGTGCGCACCAGCAGAATGAACAGCATGAACACCGTCAGGCTGTTGACGACCAGCAGCACGAAGAGGTGCGCGAGCTGGAGGGCGGTGGGGCCTAGATACTGTGTCCCACAACACCCAAGATTGCAGAGTTAGTCCAAGACCTTGCCATTTGGGGGTTTTTTTTTCTGCTCTGCTAGTAGCCGGAAAACGAGGGGGTTAACGAACACTAGGCCTCGCCCTCTCACGCCACACCAGCCCCGCGCGCTCCACCAGCACGGCCTCCAGATACCCCATCCCGACCACCGCGTAGAACAAGAACCGCACGAAGTGCGGCACCGTGAAGTGCGACACGCAGTTGGCGGTCCACGGGCAGTGGTGGTCCATTTTGGGGATGCATCTGCATTTTGCCCCAAGATGTAATACTCCGGTTAGCGAGCGGCCATCAATACGTAAGGAAAATTAGAAATACCATCACAACCCACTCCCCCATCGTCTTGGCCGTGATGTTTCTAGGAAAAGGCTGAGGGAAAGGGCTTCAAACCTCTGACACGTCCGACAATGATGCGCCCGCGGCGGCTTATACGCTTCGCATTTGCGGCACCATCGGCCGCCTCCGTTACTGACAGCTCCATTCGGCGGGGATTTGCGCGCCTGCTGCTGCTGCTGCTGCTGCTGCTGCTGCTGCTGACGATCCTCTGGGGCAGCAGCCGCTGCGGGCTTCCAATCGCTCGGCACCCGACCCGGGTCTACAGTGCAGGTCCGATAGTAGCAGATCCAGATACATCCCGCCAGCAGGTTCAGCCGCCAGCATTCCGCGCGGCGCAGCGGGGCGGGCTCGAAGTGGTTGAGGAGGTACTGCGAGCTATACGCCAGAAAGCTTATGAGGGTGGCGACGGCCGGGGTGGCCAGTCTAGAGAGGGAGAATGATGGTGATGAAGAAGGGGTGGGCATAGTGGTTGGTTCATGACATTTTTGTTGTTCTTGGTTATTTTTTTCTGGTTCGGGGTAAGAAGATAAGAGCGAAGAGGAACTACAGTAAAGGGGAGGGATGATCGGTTGGCTGATACGCTAATCTTGGGGTAGCTTGTTTGCATTGTTTGTTTGCTTGGATTGGGGTTGGTTGGTTGGTGTTTGGATTGTTTGTTTTGTGGGTTGCTTGATATGCAGAACTGGGATGACATCATGGCAAGCTTATCTGAAATGGCCATTCTTGCTAACAAGACATCAAATTGCTATAACGCAGGCTGATGGAGGTCAAGTGAATTTAAGAGTCATTCCAAATGTAATCATCAATTACTCATACTCAGAATGAGCTATATTACATCATCGCTAGATAGGACCACGCTGCACGCTGCAAAACATAACCCGCTAAACCTCAACCTCCGCAATAGCCGCGCCCGTCACCCTAGAACAAATTAGCATATGTAACCATGACTGACGATCAGAGGGAGGGAACATACAAGAACGCTCCGTTCGATGGCTTGCTGATCACCATTGCCTGCGCCAGTTTCTCCTCGCTGATGTCCGGGAAATGCTTCAGGTAGTACTCCTCCTTCAGAGCCTTGGTGACGGCCTCGACCTTGGACTGAGGCAGCATGTGCACCGTGCAACCGCCCCAGCCAGCACCCGTCAGCCGACTACCCAGGGTGCCCGCACGACGCGCAATGGCGCAGATGTCGTCCACCTCCGGAGCGCTGCACTCATACTGGTCACGGCAGGAGGCCTGGGACTCGTTCAGCAGCTGGCCCAGGTACTGGATGCGACGCTCGTCCAAGGTGTGGGCCTTGGCGAGACAGGCCTTGAAGTCCAGCACCCGACGAGCCTCGGTGAAACAGTGCAGGGCGCGCTGCCGCAGGAGGAAGCGCTCGGCCTGGACGGGGAACGAGGACAGATACTTGGACTCCAACTCCGGCACCGTGATTCCCAGCAGACCGGCAATCTCCTCCCGCGTGTATCCGGTCTCCTGAGTCAAGGTCTCCCGAACGCTCTGGATCACGGAGTCAATCTGGTACTCCAAGGGGTCGCCCAAGCGACCTTCCTTGCGCATCAGCTCGTTGTGGAAGTTGCGGAGACTGTACCCGAGCGAGCTGTTGTCCTTAGGCAGGGTCAGACCGTGGCGGGCAGCCAGCACCACCGAGGCGAGAGTGCACTCAGCAACACGGAGGTTGTAGTGGCGGGGAGCGGTCTCCGCCTTGTTGGAGGTGACGAAGCTCTGCGCCATGAGGAAGGTGAGTTCTTCGGTCGCCTTGGGGATGGGCACGTGCTGGACCGAGAAGTTGGGGTAAAATTGAGTGTAAAGCAAGTATCCGCGACGGGAAAAGATGGAGGCCGCCTGGTCCATGCTGTAAAACGTCAGAATGGGAGCGAGTAAACCCAAAAGGACAACACTTACCCTCCAGAGTAAACACCGACTGCGCGCTCAGAAACAACGGCCAGATCGAGCAAGTCCTGCTTGGATACGTCGTGGTTGTTGGCCTTCATCACGGCTAGAGCACTGGCGCACACAAAGGCAGCACTGCTGGAAATGCCACCACCAGGGGGCACGTTTCCATCGAGCAAAACCTCCATGCTAGCCGGCGCAAATGAGCCGTCGGCGTTCCGTTGGCGCAGGAACTTCAGGGCGCCCAACAGGCCGGCCTTGAAGTAATTGACCCAGTCATGCTTTTTGGGGTCGATCTCAACGTCCGTGTCGCGGGGCACGGTGAACTCGCGCGTGGGGAACTTCTCCGGGTTCACGTTGGAGATCTTGACCACAGTCTCTGAGCCAGTAGCAGGGACCACCTTCACGGCGATGATCACATCGACACTGACGGCAGTCGGAAGGACATCGTACAGGTTGTAGTCAATGTGCTCACCAATAATGTTGACGCGACCGGGACTGCGAGCGACAAAATCGGGGCGATGAGAGTATAGCTTGGTGAATTTGGAGACCAAGGCATTGAAACGAATCTGGTGCTCCGGAGCGACCGAAGTGGTTGAGGCGTCGTCGGTTGCGTAAACCTCCGCGATGGTTTCGGTCTG